ACCCACACCCACACCCACACCCACACCCAAATGGTAACCGAATGCTCGTACATAATTGAACAAAATAAAAGATGAAGAAATAATGTGCCTTAATTATTGATACGGTTATCTGAAAGATCTAGAAATACACAACGCACAAAGATTGCATGATATAATATAAAACATAAACTATGTTCTCATATCTAAAATAATGACTAATAGTGACTTCAATACTACCCAGGTGCAAAAATCGTACGAGGATCATATAAGATCTTATACGATCTTACTGACAATTAGATTTTGTAAGATTCAGATTGTATGATCTTACGAAATCTTGCAAATTTCTTGTTCTAAGATTTAATATGATTCTTATTATAAGATGCTAGCGTCAATCTTATATGATTCTTGATATAAGATTCTTGCAAGATCGGAGGATGGGAGTCTTGTAAGATATTGTAGGATCTTGTCAGACCATAATTTTAAGATATTTCTCATGCAAGCTAGTTTTTATAACGATAGGTTTATAGATGTAGATTACTACACGTGTTTAAGTGATGGAATGCTTCCTAATAGAAATATAATTTCTTTTTAAATTTCAAATACACGTTTTGTATACAGCGATGCTTATTATAAAAACAGCACACTACTAATCAATCTGATTTGACTTGATTAAGTTTATCATTGTTTTGACTTTTATCTTGTTAAATTCATTTTATCGTTTATTCTTGTTGAAAAAAACATTTTTTGTATTTGTTTGTAAAACTGTAATTAATAATAATTCTCTAGTGTAGAGGACACGTAAGCTGACAATGGCTAATATAGACTATATATATGAGCGAGAAACCGTTACATTCGTCTTATATTCTGGTATGGTGGAAGAAATTGCACGTCATATATTTTTTCAAAAATACAACTAGGCTTTTTATATTAATTTATAATTCTTCAAAATTATCCAGTTTTGTTTTAGATATTTGAAATTCGTATCGATCTTATTTAGTCTTTTTGGTTTCATCGACTGAATTTCGATATTTCCGGGTTTATTTTGACTCAAACTAATGATGAAAAATATTATTTTATTTTACTTTCAATCAATGTGAAAGGAGTTAGTTTCATTTGATGCATATGCTTAACTTATTTCAGTTAAGATATAATTAATCTAAGAAGATTATCTACTTACAGTCAAAATAAAATGAAAGCAATTTAATGCAACTATACTTGTTTTTCGACAAAATAGATTTACTTTCATAAGATTATTTATTTGATAGTCTGGGAAAATAAAATAAATTCAAAGTGAAGAGATTTATCTTACTTGAAATAAAGTTAAACTAATGGAATTATTGCATTTATATTTTTTTTAATACAAAATTAATATTCAATTTGATAATATTATTTAGAATTTACATTATATGGAACTAAATTAACCTAATTTTATCATTTTATTTTATTTCAATTGAAATAAAATTAACATACTAGATTTTTTCTACAATTAAATTAAATTATTTTATCTGATCATTTCAACTAACACAAAATAAATATAATAAAATTATTCATTTATGATTAAAATAAAATCAAGGAAATCTTATCCAATATAATTTGGTTAAAACCGTTTTCCAAACTACAACTTTGTAATTAATTAAGTCCATTTCAATATCGAACTCTACTCTATATACTAGTGGTCGATTATTCGAGAACGAGCTTAAAATTAACATCAAACCGAACTGTGATCTGTTTTTGATAAAATTACGCATTACTCATTGCATGTTTTCATGTAGAAATGATAAATATTTTTTTTATTTAAAAATAAATTTAGTCTGAGACGAAGTAAAATGATAAAAATTTAGCGATAAATGTTTTCTCTTGAAACAAAGAGTTTCAAGAAGGTAACTCAGCCTGTTGAAAAATCAGGTAGAGGTGATGAAAAGTGCAAGAATATCAATCATGCGATGCATCCTATAGTTGTATAGAAGCATGTATGAATAATGCAAGATCTTATGAGATCATACAATAAGATCATATAAGAATCGTACAGTACGATATGATCAGATGTGCAGGCTTTACGACTATCTTATAAAAACCATACAAGATCGTATATGACTTTCATACGATCTTATATGATCATATAAGATTTCACAGTAAGATCTTGTAAGGTATTGCAATATCGCACAAGATCTTATTGTCGGATTCTTCGACCTGGGAACACATCCACACTCACACCCAACGTTGTGTAAAAGTACCATAGGATAGTTTTGTGTAGAATGAATAATATATATTGAATTTTGCTATTATGTTATTTTTGCAACTTGTTTCAAGTTTTTTCAGTTTTGGACAGATTACTTTTCCATCTGCATCAGCAGTGAATAAAGCATTTTTATATTAATCATTAATAGCTGACTAACACTTCATACTTAAAAACTTGTACTTAAGTACAAATGTATTTGAAAACAACCATCCTCTTTCGAACAAAAAAACTTTTTGTTTGCTCATTTTTTCAGTTTTTCTATTGCATGCATGCGTCCAAATGTTGTCTATTTATTGCAAACGCTTTACAAATTGAAAGTCAAATGAAGCGATACTTTTAAATGACGTTTTTGGATATTAATAAACATATAAATTCTATGGATTAAATATGCGTGTATCACATCTCATGTTATGTTAGATATTATTGTATTGTTACAAAATCTTATTCTTTCGGCATGTGTCGATCAGATATGTCTCAACAAATTTTTGATACATTATCGAATGATAACTAAGAGAAAACCTTTAAAAAACAAATCAAAACTTTTACTATATCTGACACAAATGAATGATGTACATGAAAAACTTGATACAAATAATTTTATAATATCACAGTAAATATGCATAATGTAGATACTAAATTTTACTGTTTTTGCTCTTATAGATGTCATTATACTATGAAAAACGTACATATTGACACAAGAAATATTAATTACATCTAAACATAAAGTTATACTAACGTCAACTATATTAAGTACATTTATATTCGGTACCAATACTAAATACAGCTATAATTAAGTATACTAGTATTTAATACTGATTGCATTAAAAACAAATACTATTCTATTTGTCCATTCTTCTACAAATCTCATCATTGCAACGATAAATCTTGCACAATCAATTCAAAGTCATTCTTGTTTCGTATAAGGCTGATTCACCTTGATTCATTTGGTATATATAGAACATACTCACCATCCTTTTTTCACACATTCCGTCAAAGAAAAGCAAAATGGCTTCATCTGATATCAAACCAGTAGCCAATTATGTTGGTGCTTTCGATCCAGTTACAATGCCATACAATGAAAATCTTGCATCTATGGGTGGTTGTATTATGCAACCTGTTCGACTTTACACTATTAAATATCAAGTGTTACCATGTACTTTAATTTACAATAGTCTATGTGGTTACGGTTCAAACGTCGGCAATGACGAAAGTTTTATGATGCATACAACCAGGTAATTATACAGTCTTTTATTAAGGAAAAAATATAATTTGCTATTAGTATGTATTCTTCACTTTGTTTTTTCATTGTAGTGCTATACAATTTCTTAGCGATGAATATAAACTCGATCCGAATACATTTCTCTCAAGTGCATCATATGATGCTCAACGAAAACATTTATTTTATACTGACATATATATTGATATTGGTAATTATCTATCGATTCATCTCAGTAACGGTCAACTCTCATCAACTGCTATGGACAATCCACTTAATCTCAAACCGGATACGTCTTATAATGAATTTAATTGTTTTACTGTAATGACTGTAAGATATGTTTTTAAAATTTGTTTTAATATTTTCTGTTCGAAAAAAATCATAGATTTATTATATTCCACAAATAATTGATCGAGCATGTAAAATTCTTTCTCAATTAATTAATTTTAAATTATTATATAACGTTGAAACAAGTCTTCAAATGGTTTGTTATACTCCACAATCTGGTTTTTATACATCACCTATTTCGATTAAACGACCACATATTAAAGATCTATGTTTGAATTATGGTCATGAATTTGCTGATGTACATGAAAAATTATTGAATCAATTATGTCAAACGTATTCAAGTGGAATTGCATTTCTTCATGGTCCACCAGTACGTATGATATTTGAGTAAATTCATATTGTATTTGTTTTCATCTAAAATAGGGAACTGGAAAAACATATTATATCCGATATCTTATTAATGAAATTAAGAATAAAAGTTTGATCTATGTACCACCTGATCTAGTAAATGTAAGTTCAATTCGAGATTGATTTTTGTTTTATTTTTTTCATTGATATAGGAAATAACAAAACCTGGTTTTCTACCATTTCTTATGCAACATCCCAATTCCATATTGATTATTGAAGATTCGGAAACTATAATACTTGATCGAAAAGATGCTCTTAATCCAAATCAAGCTGTCAGTAATCTTTTAAATCTTAGTGATGGTCTTTTAGGTGATGCTATGCATCAACAAATTATCACAACGTTCAATTGTGAAATGAAAGGTATTGATCCAGCATTATTACGTGAAGGTCGACTTATTGTTGAACATAAATTTGAAAAATTATCTGTTGATAATGTTCGTCAATTATACAAAGAATTTGGTATTGATGGTGCTGAAAATATTCAAGAACCAATGTTACTTGCGGAGATTTATGCAAAGAAATCAGTATCAGAATAAACTAAAACAAAGCAACAGTTTTTAGGGTATGGGATGTGGATCTGGGAGTTGGTACCTGATTCATCAACTCACACTTACACCCTGAAACATTTAAATCGAATAGTCGATGATAGATCGTCAACCTTCTTAGAGAGAGTAGGATTCCAAATTTGGCCATTGTAGTCTTGTTCAGAAAATTTTTCCTATCGAAATGCAAAGTCACAAACTTTTGAAAACGCTATTCGACGCAGTTTGATGTGCTCTTTCAAATAGGACTACTTTCGAGTTGGTCTATCATCCTGATGTGACTAAGTCCTTATACATATATATACACACTTTTTGAAAATGATATAGAGTGCTGATCGAAAAAAATCCAATGAAAAGGCACTTTCAATCCCATCAAAAAACAGCCCATAGTCGAAAATATCTATGGTAAAAAAATCTCTGTTCTAACTGTAGTCATTATCGAGAAAATAAAAATTCACTGAAAAGTATTCCACTACAAAAAGCACCAAAAGTGCGCTACCTCCTAATAGTTATGTCACCTATATCTCCAGATTGGCTTATCCATTCAAGCTGAAATTTTTGGTTTCTTCCTAAATATGATAGGCCTATCTATTGTAAATATATCAGCCAAATCGGTGAAATCGATTGCGCAAGGTTCTGCCGAAATGGGCGTGGCTTAGGTGCAATGTCTCATATAGATAAATAAATGTATATTTTGAATGTTTTTTAATCGTCAGTAGTTCAAATAAAGGTACGACTTGGAACGACATGAAAATAAAGAGTGGGTATCTGTACAATTAAACTGAAGATTCCCATCCGTGCACATATATTTTCATTTGTTTTTAGTGAGTCACATCTATGAGAGTTATACAACATTGTTATATATTTTATGTTATAAGCATTTGCTTTTTTCATAAAATATTTATCTATAGTTTGTTATGTTGCATTTGTTTTTGTTGATGTTGTGCAATGCTTTCTTACTTCGTAGGAAAGAAGTCTCTTTTATCGTTCTTGTATTTGCTTTTTCTTGAAGACAAGTCACGCGTTACTCTTCATTGATTTTCTTTCTTCTAATGGATGCTTTTTTTTTATTTAAAATGCGTGTTTGATGAAGACAAAACAACAAGTAACATACTTGCAGTATTCGTCTTTTTCTAAGGTATGCTGTAAAAATTGTAAATTCTATAATAGGAATCATATGTGTCGATAACATATTTCTTTTATTTATTGAAAAAGATTTTATTAAAATCACGACTGAATTACATTGACGATTACTCTTCAATGAGTCATTAGGCTGAGAGTTCAAATTTCTATTTTCGATAGTATCTCATAATAGGAGATTTCTCTCTCGACTTGAGTCAATTTTTCATTATTAATAAATGTTGATGTTTATTAGAAGAATTGCTCTTAGTTTTGATGAAATCAACAAATTTTATTTTCTTCTCAGAGGATTGTGAATGTTCCTTTTTTACGAATTAAAAATTATTTGAAGTATAAAAATAATAACATTTTGAAATTTAATCTGTATTTATTGTATTTCAAGTAGAAAATTTCAATAAACTCATTCGTCTACATTATTCTCAAAGAACGATAATAAAATATCTGTTTAATATATTTTAGTATTCAAAAATGGTTTTTTTTCCTTTACGTTAACAACTGGAAGTCTTTCAATTGAACAACTGCTGTCAGATTAAAGTTATTTTTTTAAATTTTTTACCTGCAACAGTCAAAGAAATCTTTCAATTTATAATTATAAACTTCTGCAGTCAAATTCTGCTGTTTTTCCTAAATGTTAAATCCCTTTTTAAGTACTTACCGAAAAATCAATTTTTTTTTTGAATAGAAATATAGAATTTTCAACTGAAACCGTTTTGGTAAATGATTAGTTGTCGGAGATTGAATATTTAAATAAGAATACTTTCTCTTTATTGAAATTTATCATAACTAAATAAAAACATGTCGAGGATTGAATAATACATTTTAAACTGTATTCTAAAGATCTCAGTGAATGAACAGCTTATACGGCTTGTCTGCTATCGTAGAAACTTTTTATTCTGATTCATATATAAATTTAAACAACTAACCACAATCAGAATAATTCTCTTATAACCAATTAGTCTTTCGAATTTAAACTAAATTCATTATGAAACAACAATTTTATGTTTTACGTCAGTCTTAGAAACATTTCAATATCTATCTTATGAAACGCGATGTAGAATGAGTGTTCAAGTGTGTTATCCTTCTCCGACAAACTACGACCCGAATCCATCACAAATCCTGATATGAAGTTCTATAATACTTAGGGCATACCAAAAGTAGTGGCGCCCGCATCTCAATTTCTTATAGAAGGCTTGAGTAAATTTTCTTTTTTTATGAGGTGATATAGAAAATGAAACTCTACTTTTCTGTGCTATTTCATCTCTATTTAACTGGTATCATAATAATAGAATTTCGATAAAAACTGTTTTTGCGTAAAACTTCACTAGTGCATTAGTACGCTTTCTATTCCAATTTCTAATCATTTAATACGTTATACTTAAAAACAAAAGATACCAAAAGATGCAGTGTGAAAAGTTCTACAATTTATAAAGAGCAGTTTATTTTGTATTTGAAATAAGTAAAAAGAAATTTCTCTTTCCATGATTTTTTTCGGACAACGAAGACTGGTTACACAGAATTTTGTTTTCTTTTGACAAAGCGACATAATTAAAACAAGCTTTATTATGTAAATTGTAGAGCTTTTCACGCCGCATCTTGTGATATATTTTTTTTTTTTTAAATAAAGGATATCAGATGATAAAAAGATGAAATAAGAACAAATGAACTCATCTTACATCAAAAACTATTGTTTTCGCACGTTCGAAACTTGGTCACTCAAAATTTTGTTCATTTTGAAAACAAAAAGTACAACTATAAAAAAAGCCATCTTATGTAAATTGTAGAGCTTTTCACGCTGCTTCATTTGGTATATTTTGTTTTTTAATACAACGTATTAAGCGATTCAAATATTCAATCTGCCTCACGCATCAGTGAAGTTTTACGCAAAAACAGTTCTTATCGAAATTCTATTATTAGGATACCAGTTAAATAGAGATGAAATAGCACAGAAAAATAGAGTTTCGTTTTCTCTATCACCTCATAAAAAAAGAAAATTTACTTAAGCCTTCTATAAGAAATTGAGATGCAGGCGCCACTACTTTTGATATACCCTTAGTATAAAGTAGTGACAAAAAAGAATGTACAAACTTTGATCATAAAAAGTTTCACATTTTAATTCTGTAAGAATTACGCTAACAGCTTTTTTTAAATTTTTATATTCTTCTTTTGCTGTAATAAAGCGTATCGGAAAAGCAATCAAATGCCACGTTTAATCCTCTGTCTAAGATTTTCATCTGCACCATTGGAGATATGCGATATAATGCCAAACGATGTCGAGACATCCGAAAACAATATAGAACGTATTGCTATTGATCATTGCGGTACTATTCGATCATTCTACGATGCATATACAGACAATATCAATGGTAGAGCAGGTGAACAGATCAACACTCGCAAGCATACATTAATTCAACCAATGAAGTGTATATTAACTAATGGACAAGCACCAGAATGCGAAAATTTACTTAGATTTATTGATATTGACCATCAACAACGATTAACCTCATGAATCCCGATAATTTCTTGCGTTCTGTATAATATGGATAAAAATAAAAAAATCACTCTCTCTTGCGTTCTGTCGCGTTCAATCAGCTGTATGTATATGTCACAGATTATCGATTATAAAACATGGACTCGTAATGCCTTTATAGTGTGTTCTTGATACGACACGAAAGAAATAGAAACTATGTGTACCTTGAACAAGAGAAAATCTGATGAAAGAGACAGAATATTTGTAAGAAATCACTATATTCAAAATTTACAATGGAGAAGCGTGACGTTTTCGACGACAGCAGCGATAGTGAATACGAGGAAAAATCTATGGTGGCTTTATCAGATTCAGAATTTGATGATGTGGAGAAACAATTAAAAAATACGAATCTTCATTACGAGAGTGAAGAGTACAGGTAATAATTTGATTCTATTTAACACTAATAGACTAAAGCAAGATTTACTCTCTAGTGATGACGATACCGTCTATCCTTATGGCACTGTTGAAAAAAAGGATGAAGCTTTGTATAATGAAAAAGAAATTTATGATAGTGAAGAATATAGGTAAAGATCTCACTCTGTTTGATTTTTGGCAGATGAAAGTATTTTTGCTGTGTAGTGATGCCGATGTTATATATCCAAATCGTTCAACTAGTTCCTCATCAAATTCAGGACAAAGTATCGATGGACAATGGACAATAGTTGAACCTGGAAATGATAAGATATCACGAGTCTTACCAGCTTTCCAAGAAAAAACTGGACCTAATTTTCCAGTTAGCTCTTGTCCTTCTTCAAATTAGATCTGAAATAAGAGATTTTACTAATCAATAAATAACTAAAAAAGGAATTTCGTTATTCAAGCATAATCGGAGAAAGTTTCTTTGTTAGTTTCTCGTATGTCAGAATTAAAAAAATAATGATAAGCGCCATTGCACATATGACCTCTCCTCGATTCATTTTCTCCTCGCCAAACATATGTTATTGGCACGACAGAACGAAAAAAAAATTCTTTCGTTCTGCTTGTCTTCAATTGAAGACAAGCGGGATTCAACAGGTTAAACAAAACAGCCACATTAGCTGAATGGGCATGTGGTGTTGATTTAGCATTAGGGACCTATTTACCATTAGATGTCGTTGGTCCCGAACGTACATATCAACTTAAAGAAGAAAAGAAATATCGATCAATATTAACAGAATATGCCATTAATGATGTTTTCGTAGTTACCAAATTATCTTATAAATTAAATTTAATACAATTTTTATCAACAAATGATTATGAAGATGTTTCCGACCATGAAGACAATATTAATTTACAACAAGAAGTATCAATTAATATACCATCAACATATGAATAAGTAATAGTTCATGAAAAAGAAATATCATATCAACGACAAGAAGACATTGAACTAATTCGACCAATCAATAATGAATATTATGAATCGCATTATAATGAATCATTATATGTACAACATGAATCAATGGAACTTGAATCAGATGTTATTGAACTTCAACCGGATGATGATATGGATACACAATCTATACCTGAAATTATGAAGCTTCATTTTTATCATGAACCAAGTCAACGATATATACAACAGCATCATGATGAACAGTCATCAAATCAACAGATGACAGTTCATATAAGAAATGAACCGAATCAGGTAAGAAATTCCTATCATTTAGATCCAATAACAACATTAACAAAAAAACAAATACGAAATCGAAAAACAAATCGTCGTCATCGTGCAAACTGTTATTGATTTAAAGTTATTCGTACAGTTTATCATTTATTTAGTATTATACAAATTAAACGTATATTAAAATCAATGAATATTTATTCTCTTAATGTCAATATGATCCGACACAAATTATCTATTG